TTTTTTTTTGTTTTTGCAAAACGTGCAAAGATACACACATGAAATTTCTTATGTGCACCCTCCACACAGACCCCAATCACCCCTGAAAATTTCTTTGATATCGGGCAAGCCGTCTAGGAGGAGTATGCGAACAGGAAGTTTTGCCACTTAATTTTATATATATAGATAGAAACTTTGAGCGCTTTGAGCGACCTCTAAATAGTTTTTGATTACAAAATAAAAAATAGGGCTATACTTTTTTCAATATAGAACAATCCTAGGGGGTGAGAGCAATACAATTCCGACTTTACTGTTTTTTAACCACCCTAATATACATGCATATGTATGCGTTTTGACAGAAATCTGGTGTTTTAATACCTACATTTGTATATATGTATGCATGTGTATATTTATAAACTACATTGAAGGATTAGGGCACTCCCCGTTCTCCCGGCATCCACTTTAACATTTTGCTGTAATTCAATTTGTTTTGGGTTGAATTGTTTATACGTACTTTAAAATATACAGTTTGTGAATTTATAAATTTCAAATATTTGGTTTTTTGTTTACTGTCGCTCAAAATTCAGCAGGTGTAAATGTAACTGCATACAGTCGTACGTGTGAATATTATCAGCATGCCTGGAAAAAAATTGTGGCAGATTATTCCTCACAACGATTAGTCCTCAATTAGTTCGCTACTGATACAATTGAAAATTGACTGGTCCTTAATTTTGAGGGAAGTGTGATAAGCTAGAGGCTGAATTCCATTGTGATAATATCAGAACAGTCATAGCCAAAGCAGTGGACATCTTCGGGAAACAAACCATTCCGTTGTTCCATTGAAACCAAATCGGAGCCAGTTTTGCAACTTTATAGTTTTTAAGATGTTTATTCAAAATCCGGGAAATTGTGAAATTTTAAACTTTTGAAAACATTTTTTTTAACTTTATCCTTTTTACCTTTCTGACCAAAAATTTTATCCAAATCAAAAATCCATTTCAATTTAAAGCCCGAAAAGCCAGCATTTCTTAGTTTGCCTTTTTGTTTTCTCTGGTTAATGAGTTCTGACAGTATTAATGTAACTTACGAAAATGGCAATTTTCTCAGAAATCACAAGTACTTCATTCCTTAGTAACAGTATTTTAGCGAAACCTAGCAAAAATTCCCTAGGCTTATATAAATTTAAGATTTAAGAAGAATCTAATAAATTAGATCTTTTTGAAAGCTCAGTTAGTCAAGACTTAACTTAATTTAACTTACCGTAAGAAATCATCAATGATTACTCAACACGTCAACTTAAGCCAGAAGCGGAAATATGTGGTTTTTGTATTTTCTTCCACATCAAAAAATATGTTTGCGTACATTTATTTTTGAAAAAAATACAAAAAAGAAAATCTGGCAAGCCTGACTCTCTCACCGGTTCTACAGGTTCGTTAAGTTGTTTACGGTAAGTTAAGTTTTAGCTAATAATGATAAAAAAGGGAAATTGAAAAACAAAAATTTAAATGACAAGCATTTATTAGGGAAATTATTGCAAAACCGCGTAACTGACGTTTACTGCCAAAAATTTGATATGCTCACACAAGCCCTTGGCTCAATCCTTGTCAATTCGTCCTGAAATATACTAGCCAGAAATGCGATTGCTTTATAAAATAGAGAACCATTATGGAATATAAGTACTTTTACTCTCTATAAAATAATTTATGCAGCCTAACAAACGCGGTTTCGTATTTTAAACGACGATATCGAGCCCTAACCGCCAAAATAACGTAAGCGACATTTTTTTCAAAATTTTCTTTTTGATGCAGAAATGCATCTAGATGCTCTAGGAATATTTCTGCATCAAAAAAGAAAATTTTGAAAAAAATGTCGCTTACGTTATTTTGGCGGTTAGGGCTCGATATGTATGTATGTATATGTTCCACATATGACAGAAATCGGACTATAAATATGTATTTTTAAAATGTCTTGACTCCTGCGCCATCTATCGGAGTTATTCCATTTCATGTAGGTAATACACATATATTCCTAATATGAACCCTATTGGATCATATATACGGGGTTTAAAATATCTCCACTTCTACGCCACCTAGCAGATTAACTCCTTTTTCATTTTGAACTTGAAGTGAGTTTGAAGTTAAAAATTTATGGCAATATTTCAAACAAAAGAGGTGAAACATAATGAAAGCTTGTACAAAGGGTATACGTTGAAGTCGAGTTCTAGACCCATGCCGGACTTGACGCTGTTTTCGCAGGGATATGTGAGCAAATGTACATATTGATGTATCTATGTAACTTTATCCGCGTGTGCTCTATATTCAATTGTAAATGTTACAACAGCAAATTAAATCAACAATAATACAATGAAATTTTTAAACTACATACACATAAAATGCTCTGCAATTAGAACTGTTATATAATCACGAGCTGTAAAAAATAATTAAAATGCAAATAATGTTGAAAAAGATTCCATTGCACGATGTAATACGATACAAAATGTATGTACATATCGCTGTATGTGTTGGGTTTAAGCAGCTTAAAACGATTAAAATTAATTGTAATAATTTCAATGGAAAGTTTCTGTTTTCGCTTCCAACCTCAGATAATCAAACCACCGACAAGCCGCGCAAATCTATTAAGTGGGAAAATGGGTTTAGACGCATTTAAAACGTGCTGAACATGAATATCTCAGACATATATTAAGTGCACACTATGTATGTATGTATGTGTGCAGATATATATTAAATTAAGATGACTTAAACTTTTTTAGCAGATGCACTATGCACTTTATTATATGCATTTATCAAACCTTTTTTTTGGCTTTGTGACTTCCAAAGCGTGGTAAGGATAGATAGTTCTATATTTATTCCGATAGGATTGATTATATTTGTATTAGGGCACAACAATATTACTAGAAAAAGGCTTTGAGGAAACTCCCCAAGCGTTGGTAGATAGCTCAGCCTTGCGCAGTTCTGAGATTCTCCCGGATTGAGCTCATACAGCTAGCTCATACTCTCGGCCTATGCAATTAAGTACCTCGGGAGCCCTTAAAGGCCATCTGTAGGCTTAAAAGAAATGTGTGTTGGTAAGATACTGACTAATGTTAGGTGGAAAGTTTTGTGACAGCGATGTGGACGTTGATGTTCAAAGCAATAGGATAGTACAACACCATATCCTTTGGTGAGTAGATTCTTCAATATTAAGTTCCCTGAGCCTGAGTGTTGATTTAACCCACACAATAACCGTGGGCTTACACGCAGTCAAATCTTCACTGATAGCTTTAAAACTAATACATAGTCAGGATATGTTGTATATGTGTATCGTAGAAAGTCGAGATATTCTCAGGTTAGTCTGGGAAAACAATTCTCAGCTAATCTATGTTCGTAAACATAAAGAATTTGTTTTAATTTAGGGCCCGACTTACTCAAAGGCAAATTGTATTTGAAGCCTTATAAAGTTGAGAAGAGATTTGTTGAGCCAGATTTAGAAGTTGCATTTGTTTATACTAAATTTTTTAATGCAAAGTACAGAGAAAGTATAAATTTTTAAGAAAATCGGTTCTGCTGTTCCTTTCAATATATGTTTGATCATAAAAGCGAGTTAAAAACAACAATAGGGTTACCCCAAAAGGAAAAAAAATTACGCAACAAAAAATTAAAAAAAAATATATAAAAAATTATCGCCAAACATACGACTTTGACTTGTAGTTTTTTAGAAAAATTTAAGGTATGCATTTTTATAGCCCATTAAATATTGGTGCAAATTTCAAGTGGCTAAGAATTCGCGTTTTTTTTTTATAATTTCTGTTTGCTGACATTTCATGTACAATAAAAAAAAAAAAAAATGTTTATAACATTTTGAATTTTCCTTGTGCAATTGTTTCCAATTAGTTTTTATTATGTAACATCAGAATCGATTTTCTTCAAAATCTGCACTAAAAAATTGGTTACAAGCAAACACAAATTCACAAACAGGCTCTACAAATCTCTTCTAAATCCGATGAAAATTACGTCTTGCAAAAATAGCATGCAGAGATTTATCTGACGCACTTTTTATTCTCTTAATTTTCAGTTCTCTCCTTATTCTACTTTTAACTTTGCTTTACTACATATTTTTGTGAACTGCATTC